AAGTGGGCCCGTGGGTGGCCAGCCAGTGCTGCCCGTACCAGCTCGTTCACCCGTCGGTTTTTCTCACGGAGTGGGTTAGGGTGCTGGCCCCTTGGTAGCAGGCCCTGAGGAGGGGCACCAAAAGGTGTGAGCAGATGTTGTCCCAGCATCTAGGTGTCCTGTTCTCTATACCAAACTGTTCTCCACCCCCCGCCATGAAGGAATGGGAAAGTGGGGGATTGGAAGGGTAGTTCCTGATACCATGTCTGAGATCCCATTCAGCAAGAACATTCTGGGTGCCAGCTTCTTTCCAAGTATCACTCATAAAAATGGTGACATCACAGCAAGGGGTCAATCCCTCTTTCAGAGGAGGAAATGTCCCAGCTAGAAGTGATGGAGCCTAGATTCACCCCAGGAATGCCTGACAACTTTTGGCTATTGAAGTGTTTTGAGTTTTCAACAGTCCCAGAATCTCTAGTTCAGGGCTCACCGGTCCCTGAACACATCCTTAACTACAGCTGCTCTGATGGGTGTAGCAAGCTTCAATGTGGGACTTTGCCTGAAAGCCACTGCCCTGTACCAAGCTGCCCAGAACTGTGCCAGCCATGGCTACACCTGAGAGGGTCCCAGACCACTGCTAATCTTCCTTCCCTTCCCTCCGATCCTCTCACCAGCACCACCACCCGGGCCTGGGGCTGCCGCTGGTTCACCAGTTGCACGATGGCCTTGATGCCTCCAGTCACTTGCTCTGCTGTGTGCCCGTGGTTGTTGGTACCCACCCAGACCACCACAATCTGTGGAAAGAAAGGCACAAAGCAGTGGTGAGGGGGCAGGCTAAGGGAGCTTTAGCTGCCCAATCAAGCCCTGCTCACCTTGGGTCGGATGTGTTCCAGCTCCCCGTTCTCCAGCCGCCACAGCACATGCTGTGTTGTGTCACCGCCAATGCCAAAGTTAAGTGCGTGCAGGGGAGAGAAGAGCTCCCGCCAGATCTGCAGGCAAGAAGCGGTGTGAGCACAGGGGCATGGTCAGCATGGACCACCATCCTGTAAGTATTAACCACATGTCATCATGGAAAAGCCGTGCTTTATTGAAGCAGTCCAGTTAAATCTCACCTTGAGCAAACCCCCTTATGGTCGAACCTCTCTATATGCAAACCTATTATAGTCTCACTTTCACAAAACCCCATAGAAGGAAGACTCACTTATGGAAACCCCTTCTGCTTAAACCATGCATTGAACCAACAGTATTCCAGTTGAACCTCACTTTGAGGAAAGCCATTCAGGTTTAACCTCGCTTAGTGGAAAGATATTATACTTGAGCCCCTTTGTGGAGAGCTATTACAGTTGACCCTCACTTCGTGGAAACGACTATACCTTTGTGGAAATCCATTAGGGTTGTGCACTCCTTTAAGTAAACAATAAAGGGCCTCACCTTAGGCAATCTTCTTGCAGGAGAGCCTCACTGTAAGTATCACTACACACAAACCCAATCTGACAAAGCCAAGGGCACACACTTCCTTGAATGTTGCACCCTACACCAAGATTCTGGGTGCCCCACGCTACCTGGGGCTATTTCGGTTACCCCATACCCCGCCTACCCTGGGCTCTGGTCCAGGTATGTCAGTGAGGGCACAGGCCTGGGAGGGGCAGTAGGAGGGAAACAGGCCTCACCTCACACTGGTGCATTAGCTGGACCAAGGAGTCCCCGATGAAGACGACTTCAGGTTCCTTATCTTTGCTGTCGGCCACGAACCGATGGTGCTTTGGAGACGAAAAAAGGGGAGTCAATGGCACGCGCGCTCCTGGGCCCGCCCCGCCCTGCTCCCTTAGGTAGCACCACCCCCAACTGCCCTCAGTTTCCCAATCTAGTAGTGAGAGCGGCGCGAACTAGCTGCTCTCCTGAGCGCCCCTGTCCCCCGACTCCTGAATATTGCGGGCAGGGTCGCTCACCAGGGACATCCAGCGCCCGTCGCCCTGCACGTCCTGCACTGGCGTGGGCTTGCTGGCTGGATTCTCCTCTTCGCTCATCTTGGCGCCGCGGCTCCTGCAGGATGAGCGAGCGAAGTCGGCCCGGGAGTGTTCGCGAAGGAGGTGGCTCCGCCACGCCCACCCCTACCCCTCCAGGCAACAATGGACGGTCCCGAGGGCCGCACACCAGCGGAGGACGATGGCCGAGCCGGAGCGCCGCCTCCTCTCCAGGGGCGGAAACCTTCACTTAGGAGGGGAGGTGGAATCGGGAGCCCTTGCTTCCCCCACGGTGGCCGCACAGTGGGCTCGTCCGGCGCTTCCCGCCCCGGCCACTCACTCCCCAGCAGCGGCGGCGGCTGGTGCACCCGGGCACCGGGGGGATGGGGGAGGCGAGACAATCTAGCACCCGTGGCGGGAGGAGGGAGAAACCACCCCACCGGCGTCATGGGGAGGGGCGAACTACCTGAAAGGCCGACAGTGGGCGGGGAAAATGTGGCGCTCTTCCTGGGGGGAAGAAACCATTTGCTGTGGGGCGAGAATTGTGCGGAAGGGACCACCTACTGTGTGTGGGGGTGTCCCATTCACGTGGTGGGGGGAGGGGAGTGAGTGGACGAGTCCATTCTTGGATCCTTTGAGGGGGTGGCTCGTACGCACCTGGCTAGCAGGGGATGCTCCCATTTTTCTACTCCTGTGGGGGAGAAAAAGCAAGATGGCAAAATGTGAAAATTAGACGCTCAGTTGTAAAGAGACACTCTAAGGCAGCGCCAGGACTTTAGAGAACCTATCTCCTCGTGGGCCTCCCCTGCGCAAAAACAGCAGTTTTTATGGCATAATATCTAAACTACGTCTTTGCATTACAGACATCACAGGCCCTGCAAAGAGGGTAGAAGAAGGTGCAGAAAGAGCAAGGAAATTAGAGACCCTGCAAGGCCCAGGTCCAGCCTGGCGCCCCTCCCGCGCAGCTCATCTTGCAGATCGGTGGCCTCTGCTCCGCTCCCTAAACCCATGGCCGACCAACAACTTCGGTTGGATGTGTCTGGGCTCTGAAACCTGCATCCACAGCCAAGGCCACCTAAGGTCGCACCCTCCCACCCCAAAATTAATCTCAGACCTCAAGTCTTCCCAGATCTCCCTGTTCTTGGGTACCAGGTGGGGGTCCCACATCCCCCTAAACCTCCTGGTTACATTCCTGTAGCTCCACTCCCAGATAGGATCTTTGTATCTATTCATTCCTTCTACGTAGGTTGATACTGAGATATAGAGATGAGTCTTATTTTTTTGTGTTTATGTTTTGCCTCAATCCACTTGCCTGGAATAGGGCTGACCTTTAGTACCAAGTACTATGGCAGCTCACAAGTACTTGCTGAACGAATATTAAATGAATGGGTCAGATCCCAGCCTTATCTCAGAGTGTTGGGGGAGACAGATCCAGAAACAGAGCTGAGGGAAGGATCAAGGTTGTGATTAAGGGAGCTACAAAGGGCCTCTGAGGAAGGAGGAAGAGAAGGACTCTGAGGGCGAGGGGTTTCCTAGGAGTAGTATCTGAGTTAGACTTTGAAAGATCATGAAGATTGGGCAAGTAATATTACACAGGTAATATAGCATATCAAGGCATGGGGAATACCCTGGCATAGCTTGATTTTAAAGTCTGAGGGGGGGGGGCCGGCCTGGTGGCACAGTGGTTAAGTGCGCGAGCTCCACTTCCACGGCCCAGGGTTCACAGGTTCGGATTCCCGGCGGGCACCAAGGCACCGCTTGTCAAGCCATGCTGTGGCGGTGTCCCATATAAAGTAGAGGAAGATGGGCATGGATGTTAGCTCAGGGCCAATCTAGCTCAGTAAAAAAAGGGGAGGATTGGCATCAGATATTAGCTGAGGGCTGATCTTCCCCACCAAAAAGAAAAAAAAAAGAGTCCGAGGGGAGCAGTGTAGATAGATAAGTTGGAGACTGAGAGAAGCAGTTCCTGAAGCAAAGCTTGCAGGAAACGCTTCGAGGCATTCGTTCACCAAGCGCTGTTTCAAGTTATATGTATTGGCTCATTTCATACTTACAGCAACCATATGAAGGAGGTACTATTACCAACTCCATTTACAGATTAGAAAACTGAGGCTCTGAGCAGTTTCACACTTTTCGAAGGTCACCCAGCTCAAATGTGCCAGTTTGGGCATTTGAACCTAGGTTAGTCTTGCTCCACAGCCTAGGTCTGAATGATGACACTATGATGACCATATACTGATTCTCTAGGGATGAAATCTGTGACTGCCTGGGGACTGGCTGCACAAGGGGGCTACCAGGGCCCTTTTCCCGCTGGCACCTCGCCTCACCTCACGCTCCAGCCAGAAAGTTCGCCAATAAATGTCTAAACCAATCAGCATTCAGGAAGGGGGCGGGCCTAGTGGACCTCACAGCCAATTGGTGGGTGGGAGGTGCCTAAGGACAAATAAGAGAGGTTTCCGACAGTGAGGCTGGGAGGGGTGGGGCTATAACCGGCACTTTGCGCGTGGCACGTGCCCCGTGGGCCTTCTGAGAGGAAGTCAAAGGGCGTGGGAGGGGCATGCGCATACGCGTGGTGCGCAGGAGGCCCTGCGTGAGGCCTGGAAGAGCGCCAGGGTCGTCGTGTTCTGGGTGCACCGCGGGAAAGAACCCATTCTGCCCCACAGCCACGTGGGGTTGGCGAGTGGCGGGGTTCGTTGGGGCAGAAGAAGGTGAGGCGCGTCTCCCCCGCCCTGCCCCCCCAACCGTACCTCACTTCTCTGCCTCACTGCTCCACCCTGCCTCGTCTCCTACCCTAGCCCCTCTCCCGGCGATGACCAGGCCTCAGTCCCTGATAGCTTGTCTGTCGCCCTTTCTGTTCTCCCTAGGTTTTCTCCATCTCTCCAACTTCTCTTCCGTTGTCTCTCTCGCCTGCCTTTCTTTCTTTACCATGTCTTTCCACCTCCTGCATTCTCCACTACCTCCTCTACCCCTGGATTTCTCTTCTGTCCAAAGTCACTTTCTGGCTCACCACATCCCTCTGGTCTCATAATCTCTTCCCCCATCTTTTAGCTATTTCTTCATGTCTGTGTTCCCTGAAACCCTTTCTCTAGTCCTTGAAAAATCTTTCCATTCACCATGACTCCCTTGACCCCACCCTACTCCTATGACTCCTTCCCTGACCAGGCCTTTTCCAATTGCTCTCTGCCTGCTCCCTTTCTCTCATCTTGTCTTTCTGAATAGTACTGCCACCTCACCCCAAACCATCTCCTCTTCTCACTACTCACTTTTAGGTCCCTGACTTAGGGCCAGCCCCGTGGCTTAGTGGTTAAGTGCGCGTGCTCCGCTGCTGGCGGCCCAGGTTCGGATCCCAGGTGCGCACCGACGCACCGCTTCTCCGGCCATGCTGAGGCCGCGTCCCACATACAGCAACTAGAAGGATGTGCAGCTATGCCATACAACTATCTACTGGGGCTTTGGGGGGAAAAATAAATAAATAAATAAAATTATAGGTCCCTGACTTATCTGCTTGCTGATGACCACCCTATCTTTATCTTCCAGGACACCATGGACCCCCGGGGGCCAGCCCCCCGGCCTTTCCAGCGGCCTGAGAAACCTGGTCGTGTTCGACGCAGGAAGACCAGGCGGGAGCGTAACAAGGCCCTGGTGGGCAGCCGCCGGCCATTGGCCCCTCAGGATCCTCCCTTGGCCAGTCGGGATTTACCTGTGGCCCTCCAGGATCCTGTGGCCCCTAATGCCCACAGGCTCGTGGTCATAACCCAGGGCCGGCTGAGCCGGGAGCACCGGGGTCTCTTCAACCATGAGGTGAAATCTCTGGACGTGGCACGGCTGCTTAGCAGTGGGTCCCTGGAGCCCGGCACCCCTGCACTCCCCATTAAGCCCTCCCCAAGCCCAGGCAGGGCCCAAGAACCAGTCCCACAGTCAAGGGGCAAGGAGAACCAGGTGCCTGGAGGCTCGGGCCCAGGCCCACCTAGTCCCCCAGAGCTCCCTGCCTTGGGGCAGCTGCTGGAGGAGCTGCAGTGCCAGCTGATTCTACCACAGGCCTTCCCCAGGAGGAACCTAGTGCAAGAGACCAGGGATGCCATTGTGGGCACCTTACAGGCTTGCCATGGCTGTGTGCCCGACCTTACCCTGGTGCTCCGGGGCGGCCAGCCACCCTTGCCAGGTGAGCCCACCCCATGCCCGCTGTGCTCCCCTTCCCTTTGTCTGCTCTAGCTCAGCTGTCCCCGTGCTTCTTTCCTCTGTGCCAGGGACCAAGCCTGGGGGCCCTGAGAGACAAAGAATGACACCCTCCTGGATCAACAACCCTGAGCAGGCCCCAGCGGAGGGGAGGCAGAGGAGGCGACAGGGGACAAAGGAGCTCACCTTCGCCATGCCTCATACCTCTAGCACTCCCACTATGCACAGAGTGAGCCTGGCGCCACCAAAAGGTCCCTGGCCACCCTCGTTGCCCTCATTGCCTTCACCATCTGCGGCGGCCTGGGGGCCCCCAACAGCCTTTGACCTGCTGAAAAGCATCTGGCTGGTAGCCACACCGCCCCTTCCCCGGCCCAGGGGGGTTGGCCTACCACAACCCCTGCCTCAGCCACCATCACCCTTGTTGCCCCGAACCTCTTCCCTGGACTGGAGCCCCAGCTCCCCTGCCCCACTGCCCAGCCTCTCCTGGGTGGTGGCCCAGAGCAGCCCAGAGGCCTGGTCCTTTCCACCCATGAGACTGTACTGAGGGGTCTGAGGCTGGGCTGGGGGCAGGAATCCCACACTCCTAATCACCTCAATAAAGTTCTTCATGGTCCTCTTGATTTTCAGTGAGTGGCTGGCCCAGGAGAGCAGTTAAGTTGAGTTCTGGGTCTAAGATGGAAAGGAAGGTACTGTCACTTGTCACTTTCCTAGGGTCTGAGGGGCCAGCAGGCTGGAGAAACTTGGGGCTTTAGTTAGTCCAACACATCTACCCATGGAGGCCAACTATGTGCCCAATTCTGAGCTCTGATGATGCTGAGGCCCCAGAGTGAGTGAGACAGGCTCTGTCCCTAGGAGATTCCCAGTCCAGTGGTGGGTACAGAGAGTCCCAGCCAGAGTGGTTGCATATGGGAAAGAGAGAGGTGCAGGGGCTGGGGGAGTCAGACGAGGGAGTGGTGACTGTGCCCTGCTGATGAGGGAGGTCTTCATAAAGGAGCTGACACAAACCCTTGTATTTTTCGAGATTGGTAGCAACTTGCTAGGAGAGGAGGAAAAGAACATTTCAGGCAAGAGGAACAGCATGTGCAAGGCCTGGAGGGTAAATAGGGGATGTGGGACCATATTCATTCGACCCATATCTTGAGGCCATGCTGGGACCTAGGGTGAGGCACGTCTGGGCCCTGCCCTTGAGAGGCTCCTGGTCTGCTGGACACAGGAACAGTGTGTGTGCAGGATCAAGGCAGGAATGGCAGATGGGGCCTGAATCTGGCCCATGGACTTTTTAATTTGGGCCCACAATATATTTTAAAGATTTTTTATTTATTTTATTTTTTTTCCCCCCAAAGCCCCAGTGGACAGTCGCGTGTCGTAGCTGCACATCCTTCTAGTTGCTGCATGTGGGACTCGGCCTCAGGATGAACGGAGAAGTGGTGCCTCGATGCGCACCCGGGATCCGAACCCGGGCCACCAGCATCGCAGCGCGCGCACTTAACCACCAAGCCACAGGGCCGGCCCTCCACAATATATTTTAAATTTTTGAATTAATTGCCTTCTGTTACAAATCAAACAGCTTGCCTTTAAAAAAAAGATTGCATTTCTGGCTTCTCTCAGAAAAGAAAAAAAAGAAAGAAAAAGAAAAGGAACTGGCAGCAGACCTACTATCCCTCCTGGCAACAACTGGCTCAAGCCAAGTAGCAGAGGCCACTTTCTCATGGGGCCCACATTCTCCCTTGAAGGTGTTTCACAGGGTTATGTTTCCTGCTTCGCCCCTTGGCTTAGAAAGTTTTTTAAATGGTATTTTGAGGAGCGGCAACTTTTCTGCAGTGAAAGGGGAAGGATGAAGCTAGATATGTTTGTTGGAATCTTATCAGGAAAATCAAGCTGAGGGGCTTGGACTTGACCCTATAAGGCCCTTCCAGGGCTACCCGCTGCCCACTGGGTAACCATAAGGTCAGTGCCAGTGTGGAGGGGACTGGACTGAGAGATCACCTGGCTATGGTTTGGCTGAGGTCTTATGGGGGGAAGTGGCAACGCTGGTATTGAACCCAGGCAACTGATTTCAGATTCTGCTCATGGGCTTGTCACCACACCACCTCTCTGCCTCACAGCAACCCAGTTTCACACCCTGGTAAGCAGTGACAGGACAGGGTCAGGTAGCAGAGTGTAGTGGTTGTGGCTGAGGGCTCTCTGCCACCCCTGTGTTATGTGACCCAGAACAAGTGGTTTGCCCTCTCCGTGTCTCCATGGGCACTTCACAGAGTGCAAGGGATCTGGAATGCTAGCAACTAGAGTGGACCCAGCTGGGGATGGCTGGTGTGGGGGCGGGGATAAGCAATCAAAGAGCAGTTTGGGGACTAAGTTGGGGGAGGTCAGGACAGAGCTGGGGTCTGGGGATTGTGGGCTGTCCCAGAGACGGCAGTCTGGAGGAGGCACACCTTGGGGCAATGTGAGTTCAGTTAGGACGGGGGGAGCCAGAGGTATCAGCGAGACTCCCAGAGGGGAGGACTGGGGCTGGGGTGGAGTAGAGAGGATGGGAAAGGGGCGTCTCCTCCCACCGTGATTGGGAAGGGGCCAGGCCGGGCTATCCCGAGGAGGGGGTGGGGATCGCGGAGCCCGGCGGCTCCTTTAATCGGGGGCGCGCGCCGGCCGGCCCGCGCGCTCTCGCCGCCGTCGCCGGGCCGGAGTGGGAGCC